AGAGGCCTTGCTGCCGGACGTAGTTTATCGTCTTACCCAGGACGCGGATGTAGTTTTTCATCATACCCAGGACGTGGATGTAGTTTATCTTCATACATAGGACGCAAACGAAACTGACAAAACCAGAAGGCAATATATTGTACGGGGGTGGTAATGGATACTGTGGTTTACATATATCACCCTGGTGAGGAAGACAAGAAGTCTTGTGTTTCTGATAAACAGATTTCTTCATTAATGGATCAGTTCACATGGCATTTTCTGGTGGTAGGTGTAATGACAAAAGTACGCAGGTGTAGGCTTTACGAAAGCTTTATTCAACTGAGAATACAAGGTTTGCTCATAGTGTCCTTTTATAGCCCCAGTAAACTGAAAGTGGAGATTAACAAAACAAAGGGAGACCACTCTTGATTATTCATAACAGTAGGTAAGTGACTTGGGGCAATTTCGCAGCTAATTCTGTCTTATCTCACAATATATTAAGGCCCAGATCTTCCATTCGGTCAACGAGAACACAGACTATCCACTTGACGTAAAGTTAAGCCGATCCCACCCGCTTGCCCAACACTTTTTGTTTTGTTTTTATGGCTGTTACATTTTAATTGTTTTAAGGCTGTTTTATTGTTTTTTATTGTTTTTATGGCTGTTGTATTTTTAATGTTTTTATTGTTTTTTATTGTTTTTATGGCTGTTGCATTTTAATTGTTTTAAGGAGTGAGCTGTGCGTCTAAACACGTCGGACACCAGAAAATATTAAATTTAGCTTCCCTACATCTTCAACTGTTCTCCTTGGTGTATAATTATAACCGACATTTACGTTCATATTCCCCACCCCACACCGACTACACGTATGTAATTTCATCAATAAAAAGATTACTTTAATCTCTTAATATTATTTTAGAAGACGGAACGTTTTAAATAGAATGCTACCGCTTTGTCATTCAATTACACAACATTATTCTGATATATAGAAATCCTCAAAAAATCATATCACATTCTCCCAAGCGACGTCCATCTTGAACAGATCTGTTCATCGAAACAGAGCCTACACGAACTCCAGCTTTGAACAACAAAAAATAAATAAAATAATCATAAAGGCTTTATCATAGGTGTATCTTCTATAAATATTTTCATTGTAATTGTTCTGATGAATTTTCCTCTATGGTACCTAGACTTTATGAATTTCGGCACAGTACTAGATTGGCGAGTAGGTCTCATTAATTTTACAGTTGAAATAGCTAGCTGTAACTGTAAATTCTATGCTAACAGTTTCTTCTATCGCACTTCTTGTTTGGGTAAAACTCTTCCAGATTCTTGCTTTCCAGTTCGTTTATTTTTTTTAATCATTTCACCTCAATCAAAGCAGGCATGCCCTTAGTACGCAGGGGTTTACAGAGAATAAAAACGAGAGAGAAGACTGGGTATAGGGGTGACCAAGGAAAGGATAAAAGCTGAACGGCATTCAAGTAGATAGAAGATGGCGAATTAAATTTTTGAAGATTGTAGTTATCAAGGAAGGAAGTAAACGGAAGGGAGTACCACAGGCGGGAAGTGCGAGAAAAGAAACTGTTGGAGTAGAAGTGGCAGTTACATTTAACTAAATCAGCATTAAAGGGTAGAAACTAGATGCCGATCTAGTAGCATGCTTAAATTCACGTAGTTCAGGAACCAGAAAAATAAGTTCGTCAGTGTAGTAGCCATGAAAACATTTTTAAAAAGACAGAGGGGACCCATGTCACGTTTGTGAGAAAGTGACTGAAGTCGAGATGCCAAATCAGGATCGATTACAATGCAGATCCTTCTTTGGATTTTGTCAAGAATCTCGAGATGAGTAACAGGAGCACCAGACAAGATATGGCAACAGTAATCAATGCACGGACGAATGGTAGATTTGTAAATGTGCAAAGATTAACCTTCTTGCATGACACAGTGACTGAACTTTCCTTGCAGTAGATGCAGCTACTAATTTCATGATGTCGTTCCACTTCAAGTCAGTTGAAAACGTGAGGCCAATTTCAATCGTCGTCTTCTGTCTTCTTAATTCCTGTTCTTTTATTGTTCTCTCTCTTTAATAATATGTTTTCTCATTTTCTCTCACGCTCGGTAACCACTTGTCTTAGGTGGTTTATTGCCTTGCTTGTAGTAAAATAATAATAAAAAAAATAATGATGATATTGAAAAATCTGAGATTGAAACAGCAATCATTATTTTTCGTCGAATTATTTCTTCGGAGTGAGGGACCTGAATTGTGTGGCGAAATCTTTAAGAAATTCTTCAAAAAGCAATTGAAATTTATATGAATTTTCTAATTTTTCAGCCGTATTGGATCATGTTAAGAACTCCATTTAATTGGGATTATCACCTTGTCTTTGTCGTATATTATTACTATTTTGTTTAAAGTTTGTATTTTTGGAATTTCCGATAGATTTGGTTATTACGGATCATCAACACTTTAGTATCTGTCTATATTTCTGAGATGAGGCATTATATACACTATTTCCATTATTCAGACTATTGTCCTCATCTTTGTCGCCATATTTATCACAACGTTTCGGCCGTTGTACGCTCTGGCCTTCTTCAGGTGGTTGGAATGTCGAACTGAACCCTTTATTTCGCTCGCTGGGGTAGACTGTTCTAGTTCCACGTGCCATGTCTAATGAATGTCAGTTATCAGTTATCTCCTGTTAATTTCCCCCTCCAAGTTCTCCACCGCGTTAACCAAGTATTGAAGTTACACTCTTTGGGTCCTGTCACTGGATCTACCCAACGCCTTTATCCACTGTGCCATAAGTCCTTGAAGAAGGCCGGAGCGTACAACCGCCGAAACGTAGTAATAAATATGGCGACAAAGATGAGGACAATAGTCCGAATAATGTAAATAGTGTATCAACACTTCGTAGGTTATTTAAAACTGAAACATATTTTAGATTGCTAGAATAATATTTTTGTTTTTGCAAGTGAATATTACATTGACAATTTGTTGAGAATAACAATGAATGCTCCAAATGCAAGTCCTACTATTTAGCCCATAGCTGAGGGGAGGAGGGGCATTTATACCTTTCCCCATGGTTATTTTGGCGTAAGTGAATGTAACGAACCCGACTGGAATTCGAACTCGGCTCTCCGATTTCTCACTCCGAATCTCTATTCATTACACCATCTGCACATACTCTCTTGACTTCAGATGAAAACTTGGAAATTTTCACTTCCCGAAAGTTTATAGATATCGTCTCATTATACGTAGAGAAATAACAAGGGTGATATCAGTTAATTCCTACTCTTTTCTTTAATTTACTCTAAAGTCCACTGAGCAAAATTTACTTACCCCGACACCCCCATATATATGTGTGTGTGTGATAAAAATATATTTTTAAGATATGCTATATTTATGGGCTAAAGTGCTCAATATCAGGGATAGAACGTATGTAAATATAAAAGTGGACACTGAAGTCCGACGATTGCGTTTAAGCATGAAACAGATTGTCGCCTCTGGGTGTTCACTTCAGTGTTCTCACACACACACACAGACACACACACACACAGACACACACACACACAGACACACACACATATATATATATATATATATATATATATATATATATAGTGGCGGATCTACCATGAAACTAATGAAGCTTAAGGTTCAGGGTCCCTAATCCCCGATGTACACCTGAAGTACCTCGTTTAATGAGTGAATTTTTTTTAACAAAATCAATGTTTTTTTTTAATTGTTTGCTACTAAAATAAAGTTATTTTAGTGATAGAATCATAAGTCAATATGATCAAGTAGATAGTGTTGGTATTAGAATAATACCCATTTCGTATGGCCTTAAAATTCCCCCGTAATCGATCAAATTACAAAATTTTCGTGGTGGCTTACTGCGTTCGAACCCACACCTGTATAGATACGTTGAACTTGCCAGAGTCTATTGATAGCCTACATTTTTGTTTTTGGATACTCGAATCATTTGTTGCTGAGTGCGAGCGTGCCCATATCTGTTCAAGCTTCAGGGCCTCAAAAATGTAGGCCTCCCTTTCCCTCTCTCTCTCTCTCTATATATATATATATATATATATATATATATATATATATATATATATATATATATATTGTATGAATTAGTTTGTAACCCTGGGTTTCACGCTTTACGATCATGATGATTGCAAAAGCGTGAAACCCAGGGTTACAAATTAATAATCATACAACTGAATATTTAGCTCTATCACAGATATAAATACATATATATATATATATATATATATATAGATAGATAGAGAGAGAGAGAGAGAGAGAGAGAGAGAGAGAGATTATAAAATGAAATCTTGACTTATTCCGACTTATTTTCTGATGAGGACTGGAAATTTCCTGCTCAAACATTCAGCATTGAAATCTAAGTCTATTTTGAATATCCAGAGTGTGTGACTTTTATATTTTAGTGGCTTATAAATTTATGTTCACTTTATTCGGAATGTCGGTGAAGCCTGAATGTAAGTTAAAGTAAGAAAACATTCATACCGTATTTTGTTATCGTTTTCTCAAGAAGTGCTTGTAAACAATGGTTGACCTACATCAAGTTGCTAAGCACTAACAAGAATCGATAGGAACCTTCAGTTCATTCTACAAAATCCACCTTCTTAATCGATATTTACTGAGGTTACGATTTCCTGTTTTCTTACACTAAAATCCCATTTATGAGAAATTCGACGACCCAGAGGACTGCAGAATTTCAGGTCATGTAAATATTATTCCAAGTTGGAATATAGAAGCCATATTGATTAGTTAGTTTTCCAAATAGGATAGATGCTTTATTAGAGGCAGATAAAATATCTTCTTGAGAAATGAAAATTATTATTTTCACCGATCGGAATTAGTAAAAATGCGCTTCATTCAAAGAATCTAAAACTGAACGAAATTTGATAAACTCACTAATTAAACAAATACTCATACCACGGAGGTATTTTAGATTTTACAATTACATGCGTATTATGATTGCTCGTGAAGAGAAAGACCCATTCCCGTACGATCAGCGAAGTTAAGCAATATCTATCCCGGTGAGTATTTAGATGGGTGACCACTTGGAAATACCAGGTGCTGTAAACTTGGATGTGAGGGTGGTGTAATGGATAATGGCTCGGAATTGTTAATTGAAGAACCGAGTTCCAATTCCTGTTGGCTTCATTCACTTACACGCAAATACCCCTGGGAAGGTTATGAATCTACCTCTTCTCGCACCACCTATGGGTTAATTAATATGACTTGTGTCACTAAGCCATTATTAACAACAAAAAAATTCTTACAATCTAAAAAATTATCTGCCTTTAAATAACCTGCAAATGGTTGATAAACCGTAAAAAAAGCGAATCAATCACTCGTGAGTAGAAAGATTTGTCCTAACAATAAAAAATGCTTTCTGTTGTCTTTGAAAATCGGCGTTTAACTGGATTATGACGCCATTAATTGTTTTTGAAAGAAAATTCGTTAATATCTCAATTGAGACAAAGAAATTGGTAAACATGTCTACAATGCGTAATTTAGTCAAGGTCAAGGTCATAATTGAGACAAGAATGGACCAAACCTACTATTGGTTTGGCAAACGAGCTTCGCCACCATTCCCCACAAATTAATTGAAAATTTTCATGCATAAGAGTGCTGCATAAGAGAACCATTTTCTACATTATTTACAGTGTTGGGGCGGTTGTCCTCGTCTTTATTACCATATTTACGACGTTTCAGCCATTGTACGCTATGACCTTCTTCAAGTGATTGGAATTTCGAACTGAACCATTTATTTTGTTCACTGTGATAGATTGATCTAGTTCAACATGCCATGCCTCTTCCGGATGCCGCAATTATCTCAACTATCGACGTTTTTTGTTGACCACTGCAGTAGCCACTTTGTGTTAAGTCACAAGATCCAACTGGTGCTTTTATCAACTCGCCCATGTGACCTTGAAAAGTCATGAATATGGCAATAAAGATGAGGACAACAGTTCGAACATTGTAAATAATATAAATAATTAAAATGCTCCATCTCAGGAAGATAGATATCAAAGATTTTCTTCTAAAAATGATTTATTTCCCAACGCTGTAATATTTATGATTGGATTGACAAAAATGTTTTTCTTTTTAGTGCCTGATATTAATTAAGGTCCTCCACATCTTCCTTGGATCACAACGGTAAACACTCTTCTTCCCCTTTACTTTCATCAAGAAAAAAGGGGACTAAATGTTTAATGTACTGAGGAATTTGTTTATTCAGCGCCCGTTGGGAATGTCACTACTATCACAATGAATTTGCTCATAGAATGCAATCCTCAGTACTTAGTTCTGTCTTCCAACCGACAACATTGCAAAAGACAAGATTTTAGCTTGCAGATGAGGAAAGCGGTCAACTATGATTTCTCAAATCACTGTGCTGATAACCAATATGGCGCCAGTTTGTTTACATTGCGCAGATCAGTACGAAAATTTCAGTGATTACGCAGGTCAGTGCTGCCAACATTGTGTGAAAATTTTGTGTGAATTGATTTGACGGTTTTTAAAATATTAGAAAAAAAGTTATCTCGATAATAATTTGGCACGCAGTGTATATGGAAATATTGTGATGTCAGTAACACTAAAACATGGTCTCTATAGTCACGCTTTGTTTTGTTAGGGTTTTTTTTTTTCTTCATAGTTCACGTTTCCTTTCATTGCACTTCTTTAACGAATAGGGTATTTTGCCAGCCCCGGTAAAATAGGCACCAAAGCTATTTTGCCGGTAAATATAAATAATGTTTTAGAACTAAGAATATATTATATTTGAGATTGTCAATGGTTGTGTAGACAAGACATTAACAACATGGATTCTGTAGTCTGTGACTATTGTCTGCAGTGGGTGCCCCTGAAGTGTATTGGCAAGAGAATCACGCCTAAATCAAGATTTGGAAAGACTGTTATGCCTGAAGTGCTTAAAATATTTAGAGACTTCTATATTTATTTTAATAAATGGTGATAAATGAATGATTTTAACCTGTGTTTTAACAATTGATGGTGGAAAATTTTTTAAATTGTCTTCACAATTGATGGCGAAAATAAATAAACTTCTGTGTTAAATCAGTGTGTTGTTATTTTTAACATTACCTGCCTTCATAATAATAAAAAAATTTTACCGACATAAATCTGTGGGTTTATTTTACCGAGACCGGTAAAATAAGCTTAAAAGCATGTTTGTCTATTTTACAAAATATCCTCTTCCTTTCTTTAAACATGTTTACGATGTATTCCGTAATTGAAATAATTCGTAATATACAAGTATTTAGGGGTGATTAAGAATATTCCACGAATGTTTATAGCAACAAATATGCAAAAAGAGATTTAAACGTCAAAATGAGTTGATGAATCGTCTCAACATTAAAAGCAAGCACATTTAATTTTCCTAACCATGATTTTTTAAAAAACTTTCTCCTTCTACAGGACAATGGATATCCAGTGACAAGAATATCCTTTGCAACAGTTGCGATTGAAGTCTTAGATGCTGATGACCAGGGTCCAGCTTTTGTCTACCCGGACTGCCCTAAAGTGGATCAGTTTTGTGCCAATCCCGCCTACACTTCACACATCACAGAAAACGCAACGGTAAAATGAAACAGTTAAAAAGATGGTTTATTTAGTAAATATCTCACCATTCTTTACATCTTAAATCAGGTTAAAATTTAATTACATTTAATAAGAACTGACGTCGTAGCAATGTTCCTCTCTGTTCCGGTGGGAGAATAAAGATATTTTGGGTAGCTCTACCTTTAAAATGTTTTAACTACTTGTTTTTGTCTACCTAATTAAATGAAAATAGCATCATATTTTATTCTCCTATAAGGACAAATACGTCGATAAGGTTTAAGCAACTTTATTCAACATGGCGTCACTCTTGTTTACTGCGACGGAAGACAAAGGTGAAGAACCACTATCACACTACAACAAGAGAACAGCCCCTGAAGGGTCTTGTTCTAACTTAAGTATTATTTTATGTGTCGTGTTTATACTGTATATTATTATGGCTCTCCACAACTTCCAACCTTTAGTAGCTCTAAGTAACCTTTGTTTCCTTTACTATGCCTCCTACTCCCTGTTCTGCCATCCATTTACAGTAGCTCGTTTTCATGTTTCCATTTTCCCTTCTTATCTTCATATATCATGTGAGTGTCAAATTCCCCAAGCCTCAGCATCCTCTGAACTTCAATATCTGCAGCTTCAAATTTCTTTTTCATCCGAAATTGTTCAAAATTCACTGCCATATAGAAGGATTGATATTACGTGGCAACTTTTTTTCTAACGAAATGTCTCTGTTTTTTAATAGTTTTTACTCGTTGGAAGTCATCATCTTTCGCTATATCAATGCGACTTTAGATTTCTTTGTCATATTTTTTTTAAAGTATGGGTCAAGAAAAACAGCCTGTAGAAGTATGAGAATGTTGAAAGCGATTGCCTCTCTTTTGACAGGACAAATTAACTGATGTACTAAGGGGCCCTTGTAATCACGTGACAGCCGATTGGTTGGGATAGACAATTGCGAGTTAGATTACAGCGGATACAGATACGGCAGCAAGTTAGAGTTTGGCAAACAAAAGATTACCATGCATCTTAAATAGGAACATAAAACATATCACCAGGACTGTAACACATTTTTCATATGTGTTTTAAAATTCTCTGCGTGGGACAATTTATTTCGAATATATATATATATATATATATATATATGTGTGTGTGTGTGTGTGTGTGTGTGTGTGTGTGTGTGTGTGTGTATAAAGAGAGAAAGGGAGAACATACTGATAGATAGATAGATAGATAGATAGATATTCACTTCAGTTTTTGTATATAAAATGACTTAAGAATAATAGATTTTTAGAATTTTTTTTTTTTTGGTTATTTTAGTCTTACCTTCAATCGTGTGAAAGTGTTAGTCTATCACTGATGGATTAATGCCTAATGCGGGTCCAGGAGAGCGGATTAGATCAACGTATTTCTTCTCTTCTTTACCCACTCCTCCACTAAACCCAAAACGCGGGCTACGAACTGGAGACATCAAAAATCAAGCATGTACAGCAAGACAATTTATACTAACCATATACAATACATGAAGAAATGAAATCTTACACAGGTCGAAAAGAAAGTCACAATATAACATTTCAAAATATCAAAACTACAGGGTGCGGCAGAAATACCTCCCACATATACCTTCCAGAAATAGCTCCTATATAATGGTAAGATATTAGCGACAGTGTGCAGCAGAAATACTTCTTACATAATCGTAAGACATTAGCCTGTTAATGAACCATTGCCACTTGCTTAAGTTCACTAACAGCATACAGCGGTCAGTTTAAAATATGGGAGTTATTTCTGCTGCACCCTGTAGCTAATGCCTTACCACTATTTGGTAGGTGTTTGTCTGATGGTATTTCTATGTGTTAGGTGTTTGTCTGATGGTATTTCTATGTGTTAGGTGTTTGTCTGATGGTATTTCTGCCGTACCATGTATTAACCTGAAATTAAGGAAGTATAGCCTTCTAGATGTACTTGAATAATTTGCAAACCATTTTATATTCATGTCGTCCAGTATTTGTCAAAATACGTCAGAATCTCAACCCTGGCCAGGGCAGACCTAAAATGGAATACTGCTGCCATATATGGACAGGATCTGCCCAATTCTCACTTTCCAGCCCCGATAAAGCCCAAAAGCTTCTCCGTGTCCTTGTGGGTGACAAATTATTTTCCACTCCATTGTCGCAATGCTCTCACTGCTCTATTGCTATTTCCATAGGAAGTGTTCAGATGAACTACATTCCTTAGTTCCACAAGTTCTAACCCTCACACCTAAGACCTAACATGCCACGCCCATTGTAACGAACTACCTTCATTATCTTCTTATTTCATCAATGAGAAGTAAGTTCCACCCGAACAGCTTCTTCCCGCGTACCACTGCTCTGTGGAACCGACTGCCAAGAGAAGGTTTTCCCGATCACTACCTTATCTGTGCCTCTTACTCTGTAACTCTCTACATCGAGTGGCTCCTGAGTCTTGTAAAAGGTGAACCTCACTAAAAAAAATGATGAAATACGGAA